GGACCTCTCGCAACTGCTCCAAAGTGGATGTCTTAGTAGTCGCCGGGGACTTCAATGCTCAAGTGGGATCCCTGGACGAATCAGAAAGGCTTCTTGGCGGACCGTATGCAATCCCAGCCAACCGAACGGACAACGGAGGTCGCATACTTCAACTCTGCACGGACCACGAATTGTTCCTGTCAAACACGAACTTCTCGCATAAGAAACGCTATTGACCTACATGGAAACCGCCAATCTCTTCATTGCGCTGGACCCAATTCGACCACATCGCCGTCAGTTACCGTTGGATGGGATCGGTTCAAGACTGCCGCTCTTACTGGTCAACAGCTGTGGATACGGACCACGCTTGGCTATGAGGCAAGTTCTCCTTGTGCCTGGCAAACAACCTAAAAAAAGCCACGATACAACGTCAGTGATTACGCCAATCGGCCTTCGAAGCGGAGCTGTCCGATCGCCTATCAGCTCAATCACTAGTTGAAGGACTCAATGAATACTAGAAGCAAATGAAGGAGGCTATGCAAATATCGATAGAAACAACGTCGGACCCTGCCTCCAGCTCAAAACACAAACGACGGATATCATCGACCTCAGCTGCTTTGCTGGACGCCCGCAGAACCCTCCCTCCCGATGCCACATATGACAGCGCGCAATTCCTTTAAACGTCAGCTCATCAAGAGTCTGAGGAATGACCGCGAGAAGTGGTGAGCAGGGAGGTGTAGAGAGATGGTGATAGTAATAATCGCCGTCTTTTCCATCTAATTAGGAATACGGGTCCTAGGAAAATAGGCGTAAGTGAGGTAATTAAGGAATCCGATGACTCACTGATTCACGATCAGCAACACCGTCTTGACTGTTGGCCTGAAAATTTCGAGGTTTAGTTCAACTGCCCCCCATCAACATCTTATCTTTCACTCTCCCCCTCGACTGGACAAATACTCCCAGTTGATGCCCGTCCTCCATCTGAAATGGAGGTATCTCGTGAAATAGGCTACCTCAAAGGGCATAAGGCCTCCGGCCCAGACGGGCTGTTCCCATCGGCTTTGAAGGATGGAGGTCTAGTCTTGGTTTTGGAGTTAACAAAACTCCTGGGTTCAATATGGGAAAAGGAAGAGGTTCCAGCTGAGTGGTGTAAATCGGTGATCAAGAAGGGCGACAGCTCCTCTTGTGAAAACCACAGAGGCATTAGTTTATTCAGCATCGTCTCTAAACTTCTCGCTG